TTTTCATATTCAGTTTTGGGATAAAGGGGGATTGCACATTATTAAAATAGTTTCTCCCCCTGTGGGTGCGAATTGTTCCGTACGACCTGATTTTTAGGTTACTACTGTGTGTTTTTTAAAGTGCAGCATGATAGTAGAGCCAGAGCATCGTCTGCAGACTAGATCCATGGTTTAGTTCTGTTACTTTCTCAACCAACTATAAATTACATGCTTTACACCTTATTGATTGGTGGTTTAGCTTAATACAATAATACTGGAAATTATCCGCTTGTAGTTGTGAAAGCCGCCGCAGAGCGAAGAGGTGTGTGAGAGCGATCCTAGAATTCTCTTCTGAAGAGTTCATTATTTGCAAGAGGACTGTGGACATCGGGTTTCATGGAGTTGAAGCTTGTGCAGATGGGTTTTCTGCAGCCGTACGGGTAGAATACTGCTGCAGGTTGTCTGGTGGGGGCCCTCAGAGCAAAACTGCCGTGTTGCTGAATGGTATTTCACGTCCAAAGCATCAGTGATGTGCAGGCCTATTGGCAAACAGGATGGGAAGGTGAATCCAAAATAATGTTTTTAAAATAGGTGTTAGAACCCGTCGGTATTTTTGCTTCGTCTGCAGATCTTGCTGCTGTAATTAAGATCAGCAGAGATGTTAGATCCTTTTTATGTGAAATAGGGAAAACTGTAGAAATACGTGGTTCTGAAACACACTTTGACTTCATTAATCTTCTGGGGTTCTGGGAAGCACTTTTCTTCTTTGCTTTTCTTTTACAGTTCTCCACACTGCTGTAGGGGGAAATGATTTTGAGAATTAAGAAGAATCAAAATCAATGAGTTTTTTTTCTTCAGGGGGCCAAGTATTCAGTGATTCTTCAGAGTGTTTTGTGATTGTTTTGATCTGAAGATAGAAGAGAGAGTGAAGTAGAAGCAGTGAGCAATATTGAATGCCATTCTCGGGAACAAACACGAAGAGGGAATGCTGCAAACAAGCTGGCTTCATGTTTGAATCGTATTTTTTGTAGGTGCATCGCAACTATCTGCTGATTTGTTTTTTCACGAATACTTCTATTAAGTTAACTAGTCAAAAAGTAGAGACTTTCTTCCCCTTTTATTCTTACCCATACTTGTTTTTATAATGAGGACAAGAAAGAAATCCTGTCCTCTGAGTTGACAGCCTTACAGAAGGATGGGCGGTGGGGGAATGCATCTGGACACTGGTGTCCTGGTGCTCATCTTCTCTCTGTTTTTACTGTTTGCAGGTTCTGTCCTCCATGATGGCGTCAGCTCTGCCCAGAACCCTTGGGGAATTGCAGCTCTATCGAATACTACAGAAAGCAAATCTCTTATTCTACTTCGATGCCTTCATTCAGCAGGGTGGCGACGATGTCCAGCAGCTCTGTGAAGCAGGTGAAGAGGAGTTTTTGGAGATAATGGCTCTCGTGGGCATGGCTAGCAAGCCGCTGCACGTGCGTAGGCTGCAGAAGGCTCTGAGGGACTGGGTCACAAACCCTGGTCTGTTTAACCAGCCCCTCACCTCCCTGCCGGTCAGCAGCATTCCCATCTACAAGCTGCCGGAAGGGTCTCCGGCGTGGCTGGGGATATCCTGCAGCAGCTACGAGAGGAACAGCAGCACCAGGGAGCCTCACCTGAAGATTCCAAAATGCGCCGCCACGACCTGCGTGCAGAGCGTAGGCGCCGGCAAGTCCGACGTGGTGGGGAGCTTGTCCCTCCAGAGCGGCAGCGAGCCCCGGCTCTGGCAGGGGCAGCACACCACCGAGAGCGAGCACAGCCTCTCCCCCGCTGACCTGGGCTCTCCGGCCTCGCCCAGGGAGAGCAGCGAGACTCTGGACGCTGCCGCCGCGCTCTCCGTCGCCGAGTGCGTGGAACGCATGGTGCCCTCCCTGCCCAAAAGTGACTCCAGCGAAGTCAAGGAGTTGCTGAAAACAAATAAGAAACTGGCAAAGATGATTGGGCACATCTTTGAGATGAGTGACGAGGACCCTCACAAAGAGGAGGAGATCAGGAAGTACAGTGCAATATATGGCAGGTTTGACTCGAAAAGGAAGGATGGCAAGCATCTCACCCTCCACGAGGTAAAGTACCTTGAGTGACAGTGGGCTTCCTGCCCTGTTCCTACACCTCTTGTGAGGTGCTCTTCACAGAGTACACTTTTGGTGCGTGTTCTTCTCACCGGGTGACAGGAGCTGTGTCTTCTTGGCTGGGTGTGAGCACGCGTGCAGTGATGACTTTGACTTGGAGTCCTCAGGCTGCTCGGTGGCTGGTGTGGCCTGTCAGAGGGTTTAAGGAGTTTGGCACTGAAGTAGCAAGCAGGTATTTCGCTGAGCGTGGCTTCTGGGATTCCAAGTGTTTGGCATATTTTTAAAGCCGTGCCTTTGACATCCCATTGCAGCTTTGAGAGTAGACAGGTTGGTGGGAAGATGAGTAACTGAAGCTGCTTGTGTCTGGTATCAGAACACCTGGCTTGGTGACTACTCTCTGCTGTCTTCCCTCACCTTGAGATCCTGCTCTGTAGCTTGTGCCCTGGGGGTAAAAAGGATTCTGCTGCTGAGGTCCCTAAACCTGGTGTGGTGGGATTTTTTTGCATTTGATTTGGGATGAAGCTGAATTACAGAACCTGTGTGCTCATTTGGGCATGGGGTGTTAAGCCAGTCAAGTGAAGTACAGACTGTGAGGAGGAGGGGAAAGGACCATCTCCAGTATTGATGGCTGGCTGTAATTTGAAGGTTTGTCCTTTAATACCTGCGTAGCATCTGTTCCCTCTTGTCCTTAGAGGTCCTTGCAGGCCTCCTTCTCTTCTCTTCTGGCACACGCTGCATCTCTTGTAATGCAATAGGTGTGTCTGTGTGGGGAATGGTTCCCGAGTGCCAAAATACGGTACAAGAGGAGAACAAACATTAATTCAAGGCAGTGCCAAAGCGCTGTTGATACGAATGCTGCATCAGCATTTTCACAGTTAACAGTGATTGCAAAATTTCAGTTGGATTTAAAATTTGGCATGTACGGCTTAGCTCCTAAAAGGAAAGGCAATGTTTATGTTACAGGAGTGCCAAAAAAACTGTACTGGCTTTAGCCTTTTTTCGCTTCAAGAAGTTTTGTAGGTGTGTGATCCGTAGTGTAAGACTAGGTTCTCTGTGTGCTGCTGACTAGAGGGGCATAAGGAAACAAGGCGTATTTCTTTACGTTTTTGTTTAGGTATTTACATTTATAAGGCAACTGCACATCACCAACAGTGACTTCACAAGGGCTTTTACTCCAGACTGGAGAGAAGCTTCCAGGGGAACTTGTCAGCACTTTGCTGCCCAGTTGTAGCTGTAGAGCTCTCACTTAGGTGCTTTGAGATGGACACTTACAATCCAGCAATTCATCCAGCGGGCAAGAACAGATCTTGTCTGACTCCCCTGACCATGTGGAAGTCTCTCCCATAACAGAACAAGTTGTGTGTGAGATGGAGGAAGGATTTGAAAGGATTCTTTGTGTAGATGCCCTTTGTATGCTGCTGCAGAGCCAGGGTTCAGGGAAAGGGGGTCCTGGGTCCTCCCCACCTGAGGAGGGAGGCAGTCAAGGTGTGTGATGTGTACAGCTGTGTGCTTTTGCAGTCTCTCTGGGATAGCAGTGGCAGAAAACACTCAGAAATCTGGGTAGAATTCTCCTAGGACAATTTCCTGGCATCCAGCAGTGCAGTGGGAGGTGGCCACTGCGGGCAGCCTCTGTGCCAGCCACATGGGAGGCTCAGAAATGGCTCTGTAAAGCTGGAGGAGCAAGGAGTGGGGTGGCAGTTTGAAGGAGCAGGGTAGCAAAGGACTGAAATTCTTCAGTTCAGGAAGAGAGGGCAACTGCTCTGCCATGTTAATTTTATATTTTTTTTTTTTAAGTACTGCACTACAGATCTTTCCTGTATCATTGCAAAACCATGTTTAAAGAAGGAATGAGAGCATGGTTTGGCTGTAGGAAATATTTCTATCGCTATTGTGATTAAGGGCACAAGATCAAAGGAGTATGTGGTTGACTTATGCCTCACTTACGCATGTGGGGCCTCGCTGAACTTGATGGGAACTGCACACATGCAAGGAAGAGGAATTTACTCATAATTGGTTTACTGTTTGCTTAAAGAGGCCAGATTTCACAAAGCTTTGTCTTGAACGGTTTTCTCTCCGTTTTAAAGCAGAAGATACACAAATAGCAGCAAGGCCTTTTTGTTTTTTAAGATCTGCTTAGCCAGAGTTTGCCTCTTGTAAATTCAACTTCAATAGAATTTTTGTTTTGATGGCTTAAACAATTTGCTGCTCAGAAGGAAGGACCTTAAACAACCAAGGAGGTAAGTTTCTGCTTGTCCAGAGACTGTTTCTGCACGTGTTAGTACATTCCAAGGCTGTCATTCTGCCTCACAGTTCAAGGATTCTCCTTGCAGCTGCCAGTCAACAGCTGAGTAAACTCCACTGTGAATTTTAGAAAGCTTAAGTAGTGGTTAGTTTCTTACTATAAAGATCAGGGTATCTCTGGCTCCTCAAGCAGAGTAGAGTTGCATGGAAATTAAAATTGAATTATTAGTGGTGAATTAGTGAGAATATTCCCTGTTTCAGGAGGAAAACTGGAGTGTCTCAGAGGGCTTGGGCAGCCATTAGAGGCAAGTGAAAGCTGTAGGCACTGGGCTGGTTTGGAAGTGTGTGCTATTGGCAGGGTTATCTGCATGAGGCACCAATCTGCCATAACATCCAATGGAGAATCTTCCAGAGGTGCTCCAAAGCTAATAAACATAGCATCCCATTGGCTCTGTATTGCAAAGCTTTTCAAGCAGGAGAGCTCTTCATGTTTAAAGTTGGGCTGGAGGAGGGATGAGTATGAGACATGCCCTTGAACTTGGTGACCTGTTCGTGTGAGTCAGATCTGTAATTTGTGTGTTAATATTTCAGTACTTGTCTAGATACTTATAAAAATGGAAAAAATCTAGTTTAGTAGTGTGAGAAACAGGAATAAGAAGTGCAAATTATCAATTTTTGTCTAGCTTGGTCTCTTCCTTTTCTTTTGCTGACTCACCGAAACAGTAGGGTTTGGTATTTAATTATGTGTTTTTTAGTGGGGGAATCTATGAACCCCATCAGATGGTAATACACCCATCCCTCTCTGTAAAGTCTGTATGGTTATGTGCTCCTCCATATCTTTAAGCCTTCCAGCAAACAGAATCTTTATTTTTAGGCATGTAATGCTTTCTAGCTGCAGTATTACAGCTCCTGAAAAGGCAGGAAGCCATGATGAACTTCAATTCAGTAAGTCTGCATGTGACCTGAAAGAAGAAAACAAGAAAAACAAACAAACAAACATTTGGCTTTTCTCATATATTAGGATAAACAGCATTTGCCTGCAACTACCCAAAGCATTTTCAGTCATTTCAGCAGTTTGCAACCTTTCAACACTTTATTGAGGGATAACAAACATCTCAAATTACTTTGTAAGCATTAGCCATAGTATTCATCCTGGGCAAAGTAATAGCTGTCAGTGTTACAGGAATGTAATGCCTGCTTTGGATAGTAATCCTTTTCATCAGTGTTGTATTAATGTGTTGGTTTTGTATCTTTTTCTTTTCTCTGTGTCTTTTTCTGAAAGGATAGACATTGTAGAACAACTGTTCCTGTGTAAAGGGTAATGGCTTGTTATTCTATTCATTGTACTGTAGGAATGTAGTAGCCTAGAGATGTTTCCCAGATTAAACTTCCCACCTTTCTACATTGAATCTCTGGGAGATTAGTTTTTTTGTCTGTACAGAGAGGGAAGCATCAGGCAACATACCTAGCTTGCCTGTTAAAGACATGTTTGCACTCTGATGAGCAGTGGGTAGTGCAAGAAAGACCCTACTCGGATCTGAGGCTTCTATGCTAAACACAGGGAAAAATGCCACTGAGCTATTGGGAGCAGCAGTTCTGTGTGAGGTTACCCTGGAAGTGCTGCATGGACACAGGCTGCTGAGAGAACCTCAGCTCTCCTGATACTTTTTTTGTGGTGGTTGTTTCTTCAGCCTCCCTGGAGAACAAGTGTCACATTAGGCAGAATCCATTTTTTCCTGATTTGGATGACACGGAGCACTGTGGCGGAGGACAGCGTGGTTCTGTCTTGCTCATTTCTTATGAAAGCTCCTGAGAACTGCTTGTGAGTTCTTAGGAGCAGGTGAGCTGCTGGCCTGGGCGGTTTGCTTCACAAGTAACCTTCTGCAGCAGGGTGAAGGGGGGGGAGGGGGGTTGAGGGAGATGCAGAACATGCTGTTGACAGCAGCAGCAAAGTAGCTGTGCTCATTTGTGAGAAGCCAAGCCCATTCGAAGCACCTTAATTTCTAGAAATAAGAGTAGAATTGCTGTGGGCACTTTGGAAAAAACACCCCTAGTATACTGTTGGCTGCTTGCTCTTGTGCCTCGTTACAAGTGCTGGCTGCTCTTCAGCTGAGGAAGCTGTGACTCCCTGCAGCCCCTGATTACTGTGGAAGGAGCAGGGAATTCCTCTCTGGAATCTCCGTTCCAGTGTCTCTCGGTGCATTGGGGATTTTATTGTCTGTCCACACTGACCGTAGCCTTTTCAGACAAGGTAGTATAAATCATAATGGTATCACCACTTTCTATAGGCTTTTGAAGAGTGTTGCAAAACCATTTTGAGCCTTAACTTACTGCTTTCCCTCCTCCTTCCCCCCTCTGTATGAAACTATTGCCAGCAGCAGAGACACTGGAAACGTGTCCCAGTAGGCTCAGGAAAACATCCTTGAAACAAGTTACATTTGATTCATGTCTGAAGATAGTCTTCACAAACACGAGGGTGAGAAACAGCTTAAAAAAAAGTTTAATCGTTTCTTAAACCATCACCTTCTACAGAATTTGTGCTGTATTCACCAGGGAAAGCCATCTGTACCCACACTGTCAGGGTGTTGGGTTTTTTTTTTCCCCAAGTCCTGGGCATATTGCGTTTATAAAAATAGTATTCCCTGTAAACCAGGCTTTGGGAGCCAAACACTGTGAACGTTCAGAGCTACTGTTTTATACTGAGATTTAATTAATGCTGCCACGAGGCAGAAGCAGCACACGTTGAGAGAATCTTACAATAGCTTTTTACTTTAAAGGACATTAAATGCACCAACTACATTTCTATCTCCTCTCTTCCCAGCAGCTTACCTGGCTTAATAAGGGTGTAAATAAACAGAAGAAACCCTCCAGGGTTTAGTAGACAATCGGAGGTGATTTTACTTGCAATTGAAATGTTATTTTTTCAGCAGAGCAGGTACTTTTACAAGCAGACTGGGAGTGTGCAGAACGGTGAACCCCTGGTTTTGTGTTTAATTTCCAGCTAACAGTCAATGAAGCCGCCGCTCAGCTGTGTGTGAAAGATAATGCCTTGTTGACCAGGAGAGATGAACTCTTTGCACTAGCTCGGCAAATCTCTCGAGAAGTTACCTACAAGTATACTTACAGGACCACCAAGTAAGGTTTTAATTAACTCAAAGGACCTTTACTTTCAGGCAGCTAATGAGTCTGATAGCATTTCTCCTGAAGCGCTTTCTTCAGAGACACTTTCTTCCTGCTCTTTAGCTAGCAAAGTGCTCTTCTGAGGAGGGTGGGAAAACGCTCTTTAAGTCGTGAAGCTTTCAAACTGCTAAGATTTAGCTGTCTTGAATTACCTTTTTATTTGCTCTCTAGTTTTTCCAGATTTTGTGATGGTAGTGCATGTTGAGAGGCATCAGAGAGGCTGGCATTCCAGATGTTGGAGACATTTGTGTATTTCAAGGTGAAGATATATAGGCAGAGTAGCCAAAGCTGCTTAATGTATCACATTTTTTTTCCCCATGTACAGATTTGGCCTGTTAGTTTCCAGGGAATGAAAAAGATAAGGTCAAAGAGAGTGGCATACAAACTTGCTTTAAAGGAACTGAAGCCGAGTCCTGATTTCAGTTGCTGCTGTTCTGTTAAATGAATTGCTGTTGTGAAACGGTAACAAAGGCTTGGCAGCTTTTAAGTATAAATAAAACTTTAGAATTAATAAATATGATTGAAAGTCATGATCTTTTCTATATACTGTTTTTAAATAATAACTCCCATGTGTAATGCAATATGCTTTCAAGATAAGTCTTCCTATGCTTCTAGGAGCTTTTTAAGGTTTTCCTTTGCTCCTCTTTTTTCTATAGTGATTAATGTAAATGTGTGTCCATTCTGGGTAAGCAGTTCCAAAGGCATTTTTGTAACCTCTGTGCTCAGGTAGCTTTCCTTTTTGTTCAGAAGAAGAGCGCATGAGTCTCTTGACACTTGTGAAAATTAACACCAGGTGCTTGTGTTGCTTTCGACTGGAGGGATGTTTTCTGCCCTGTCCAAGTGAATCAGAGGCTTTTTCTGTGCATCTCAACTTGCTCTTGACTGATTTTTCTTTCTTTGTTTCCTTGACTTTTTTTTCATCATTATGTCTCATGGTCAGGGTGAGTGTGCTGTTTGCTGATAGTTTGTGTCTTCTCTTCTAGATCTAAATGTGGAGAAAGGGATGAGCTGTCACCAAAGAGAATCAAGATAGAGGTACAGTATTATGACTCCTGATTTTTGACCTGTGTATGCTAAAATTCACTTTTGTTTTGAAGGGATCTGTTTTCAGGGAATTTGTCAGAAAAACATTTGACAGGCAGTTGATGGGTGTGAGAGAGAGAGGAGGAGAACATCACCACTGTCTCTTCAAATATAAAAAATGCCTGATGAAGAAGCCTGTAGGAGCAGGGGTGAAGGGTAGGATTTGCTTAATGGTAAAGGAACTCTCAGTGTTTTGCACTCTGAGTAGGAAGAGGAGGAATGGGACTGACTGACTTCCTGTGGTGAAATAAGCTCAAACACTGTATGAAATGTCCTCCCTTGAATCTCCTGCTTTTAAGTCAGTGTGAGGTGGGGTTTGCTTAATTCACTTGAGTCAGCTTTTGATCATATCCAGAATCCAGAGTTCTGGGTAAGGATTGATGGCAGGATACCAGCCATCTCTGACTGTGCTGTAACTTACAAAACTGACCACGTTAAAAAGTCAAAAGCTAACTTAAAGCTGGACATGTCAACACAAATTATATTAATTTGCAGAGTTTTGTAATCAGTTCTGTGTAAAAAGCACATGTATGCATGGCCAGTGTAGACACTTAATGTTGCTTAGGGAGAAGCTGGGAGTTTTTTGTTGGGAGGGTAGGAGCGACTTATCTGTAGTTCACCTTTTTCTTCAGTTACTACTGATGGAAGGTAAATTTGAGGTCTTCTAAAAAGTCACTTCCAGTAAAAAAATAAATTATAAGTATGTATACCTATATACCTTGTAAGAATAGCAGATCTTCCTTTTAAATCAATCAATTAATATATTGTTAATATATTATTATTGTTAATAAATTATATAA